TGTCATGGAGCCATGCTAAGGTGGTGGGAGCCGGTCCTCGTGCCAATTATAGCTCGTAGCACACCCTATGCTCCTGTATAAGTAGAGGGGTACCCCCCTCTCTAAAGACACACCACATTGAGCAAGACCTCACTCTCTACTCTCTTTAGTTTTACCTTTTAGTTGTATTAGAGCAAGGCAAAGCCACCTTGCAGGGCTTGGCTCCTTGGAAGAAGAGATTCTTGGTATGAATATCAATATGGGTTCTTCCAAAGTCATGTCCTCACTTTATTATAGTCATACTTATGAACTAGAGTATAGTTATTGTGTTATGATCTTGATATATGAACTAGTGTAGAGTTATGTGTCATGAGAATAGCACACTTAATTTTATGCTTAAACAATCATATAACTTATATAATCAGAATTAGAGCTAAGTTGAGGTGGCGGTTCATTGTGTCGTCAGGTGTGCCCAAGTTCTTTACCTATCGATCCGTAGGGTCGGGGCCTCGAGGGGATTTGGGTAGTTTCTATATACGCAAGCATGGAGCTTGAGTATGGAGAGACATGTGAATGCATTGTCCTTCTCTTCGGCTGAGGGGTAGACAGCAAGTGGTGATAGCCCTGTCCGTCCTTCATAATCCCCCATGTTCATTTAGGGTGTAGGAGTCTAAATTGTCACATGAGGTTGCTGGCAGACCAGTACTCGGTGGCCTCCTAACCTGCTTCATACTTAGCCCTAAAACTAATTATATAGTTTGTATCAACTAATCTTTGTATGACTACACTAGACCAATGCATGCTCGACTTAGGATTATTCTTTTATCCATTCTTTTCTATTTTATCCTTTGAGGAATGCCAAGTGTGTGTCCACTATCTTGGAATTATTATTCTTACCCCTGTTATAAGCATTGGTGTACTTGCAAGCATTATTATTCAAGTTCATATCCATACTAGACTCTTAATAAAATGCCTTCCTTTGGAAAAATATAAATAACGATACCCTGAATAATTTTGGGTGAAATGCTACAATGATAGCTCCGTGCGCCTATAGATAAATATCTAAAATAGTTAAGGAACTATCAAGGCTATTTCTTAGTAGCATGGCTACACATTAGTTATGTTACTAAGAAGTACCAACAAGGTATTTCTAGCACCATTGCTGAGGATGGATTCAAACCCCATACTTAGTAGTGATGTTAAGAAATACCAATAGCGAGCCCCCAGGATGGTTTCTTAGTGTTCGGCTTGTCGGAGTTCTCGGCTCGAAGGGCTCGTGCGTTCTGATGCGTGAGCCTTCATGGCATGATGACACCACCGTCGTCACATCTCCACTTCTATGTGTGGTTGCCGCTCTTGATGAAGAGCAAGCATGACCTGTCGCTGCGGAAGTGGGTTCTGAGGGCAACACGGTTTGGTCAGCTCGACGCAGCGCGTCATGCGCTCAGGGTGCCCACTTCCTCGGATGCATGCACCTCTGTGTAAAAGCTGATAGTTCATAATGGCGTGATGGGAGGCTGGTCCATCACATGGGACTGGCCCCTGATTCTGAGCTTGGCCTTGCAAGGCATGGCGCCGAGTGGCCACCTGATCACCAACGACGATGCTACATGGCGATGGTTGGTTTCGTCGCTCGTGTGCATCCTGACTTGCCTTGTTCCGTTCATGGCAGAAATGTCGCTCGAGGATTGGCTCTACCATCGGGTCTAGGCCTCCCACGCGGTGGGCCTAGATGGGGTAGAGGCCGGTGACGGGCATTAGCCCATTGGAACTGATGATCGCATGGTTCCCCAAAAGGATGTGGCAAGTTGAGGCCATTTTGTGGGTGAGATCGCCATGAACCTTGGGCCTTTGGCTTCCTGGGTGGAAGGCCTGGCCATGGCCGATGATGAGAGAGGGTACTGGCCTCCCTATGTAGGTGAACTCCGGGATGTAGCCACTGAGGGCAGTTTTGAGAGTGTGTCCATCATAGGCCATGGGGTCTAGACCTCCAGAGTAGAGGTCCGGGCCGTGGCCGTAGGCAGACGCGGGCGCTGGCCCTTCGATGCAGATGAACCCATAGTTTTCATGATGGATGTGGCCGCCGCGGGCCATTCCATGAGTGAGTCCACCGATGGTGCGAGGAGCCATCGCTTCCTTCTCAACAAATGAGAGTGCGCGACTGTCCCCTACTTGGCATGCCAACTATCAGTGTTTTGTAAACTACACTAGTAAATTTATATGAATGTCGCGCTGCTTTAAGAAGACGATGGTAGCATCCAAAAGACACGAGGATTTATTCTAGTTCAGGCCAGAGCCCTATAGCTAGTCTCAGAGATGGTCGAGTGCATGTTCCTCGCTTGAATGCTCTGAAGTTCTTACAATGGGGTGCAAGAATGGTGGAAGAGGTAGGAGAGCTAAAGCTAGGAGAAGGGCTGCCCAAAGAAAAGCTTTGAGAGCCCGGAGAGAATGGAGATGTGGATGATAGGATGCCCTAAAAGGAGGCCTTGGCTGCCCTTATATAGAGTCTAGGGCCAGGTTACAAAGAAGGAGGTTCTCCCGACCGAGGGGTAGTGAGCCTGAGGGAAGGGGCCTAGCTAACCTGGCTTGCAAGTTACGAAGTCTTGTGGTGCATGTCTAGACGTGGTTGTCCTCATGGTCTTGTGCCCACATCACGGCATGGTGTGGCATGGTGCTACTATGCCGACTGTGGTGACACTGTAGGCATGGTGGTAGTCCACCAGCCGTCCTGTGTTACATGATCTTCGCCGTGGCCTTCGTCATCGCCTGATCTCCTGTGGGCGCCATACAGGAGTTGATAGCCGCCCCTAGGTCGTCGATCGTCTTGTTAGCTTGTGGGGATGGTGGCCTCGACCCCGGGCTCTGGGGTCATGGCTCCCGTTGGCTTGGATGGCCTCAAAGTCAAGGCCTTCGTTGTGGATCCCATCCCATAGCGGGCTGAGGTGACTGTTGTCCCCTCGGTCCTTGCGGGGTCAGTGCGGCATGCCTGCTCTTGTCAGAGCAGACGCGCTTGGTGGGCTTGATTTCTCGCATCCCTTCCCAGGGGTCGGGACGGCGAGAGGTCGTGAGCTGCTGCATAGCGTGCGGCTAAGGCAGAAGGAAGGGGTTGTGGCAGGCCCTGGCCTTAGCATTTGGTCTGGCCCACTCAGCTCGGCTGGGCTTCTATCGTTTGGGCTTATGCAGGCTGGTGTATCGTGGGCCGCCCGAGCGGCTATCTAATCGGTGGCTTGAGATACCCGGGGTATCATAACCCCGACAAAAGCTTTTGTGGATCACAACAAGGTAGTAATAGTGAATAAGCTTTGTTGTTGCAATGATGAATCCCCTAACACCAATGAAGTAGGCGCAGGTGATCAACCAGAAGGATACGCTCCTTGCCATCCACGACAACGTGTCATGGCACGCCAAGTTAAAGGACTCCACCTACGTCTTCGGTGGCGGCGACCCCTTCGACCTCACCAATTTTGAAATGTGCTTAGCGTTTGTATTAACAATTTGATATAGATTAACTTGTACTCTGGTTGAATCATTTGATGACTGAATCAGGGTGAAAGCATATTTACATTTGTGAGATTGCTTTGTGTACTCTGTTTTGGGATTCAATGGCATATTCTTTAATACTAAAAAATATTTCTGTTTTCAAACAGTGAGGGGTATATTGCTGAGGGAAGTCAACCATAGGAATTTTTAGGATGTATTTGGGCTCTAAATACTCGTTATCTTGACATATCCTCAGAGAGTATTATCGGCTTAATTATATGCTTACAGATCTACGAAATAGTAGGATTTATATGCTTGTATGCCATAAATATAATAGGAGAGATATCAGTTGAGCATTTTCAGCCACAATATAGCAGTTTTCTGTAATAATTAAGTAGTTTCCTTTTATACTTCAGCGGTTTTCCAATTTTATACTGTCAGTCGAGCATTTGTGTGGTTCTTTTGATATTGGTATTACATTTATGGTTTTTTTGAGTTTGGTATTAGCAAATGCCGGTTTCATGTTCAGCCACCTGCTTTGGATTTAGGAATTGTTACATGACTCCATCTTATTACGATAGTTAGTGCTTGTTCAATCCATTGTCACACTTATTTCTAACAATCTATTGTCACTCTTATTTCTAACAATGCTTCTAGTCCTACCTACAATATATAGATTCAAAGTTACTTTTTTCTGTAGATAAATACACGCACTGCACACCAGAAATGTTTTTTGTTTCATACATAAATGCCTTCCATACCAGACTAAATTTCAAATATTTGGGCACACGTACCTAGCCCAGCTTTAACTTGTCCCTCCATTTTGTTTCAACTTTTGGTGGCATCAACCACTTGTATGTCAATACCTTGCGGTTAGGGGTGGCCATGGGTGCCTTTAGATGGAGCTTCCCTGTATGTTGTCCGCTGCTGAAGAGACCTAAGGATCAACAAATGTGATGATGAGCATGTGGTCAGTGCATTGCGTGGTGCTTTCCCATCATTGCTCGAGGCATTGTTAAAACCTTACCCCTTTCACTTGTCACAAAAGAGGTAGGCCCATGGATCAAAGATTTCTTCATCATGCCTATGCAATGCCTAATCCTCACAAGTGAGGTGAGCCCACATATTTCATTTTAGAGCCAACTTATGCTAAATCAGCAAGCAATTTTTCCATTTTGGTTTAGCATTTTTTGTGTTCTGGCTTTAGCATTTTTTAGCGCTGTAATGATCTGTCATTGATGATGATGCCAATCCATGCTTTTGTACTAGAGGATAGGGCTTAAAGAGACTACTTTGTATATCTTTAGATGACAGATTCTTAGTTAAAGAGTACCTCGTGTGATAATGACTTCATTTAGCCCGGCAGTAATATTTTCTTTGCACGCACACACACCCATCCGTCATTAACATATGATCCACCGATGGAAGCCTCTAGATGCCGGCCTTATCACAAGCCCCCTCTGCATTATCTCTCATTTATCTCCTCCCTTTCTCTCCCCCGCTATGCACTTGCCGACAACCCCTCACCCTCCATCTCGGCCATGGTGGAGGGAGAGGACGGGAGCGTTGTGCATGTCTATGGCTCCGATGGCTGCCCCACCGGGTGGTGCATTCACGTCTCCCTCTTCTACAAGGCTGCGATGCCCTTCCACTTCATGCCCCTTGACCCGGCACTGTTTAGTCACCCCGTGCTCCGCCTCTCTGTTGTCAGCGTGGAGGTCTAAGGCACCGCTGACGAGCTGCTAGGCCAGGTGGACGCATGGTTCGAGTGCCATCCTCGCGTCGTGTGTAAAATTTTGACGAGCATAAAATTTAGACAACGCGAGGATGGCACTCGAACCATGCGTCCACCTGACCTAGCAGCTCATCAGCGGTGCCTTAGACCTCCACGCTGACAATAGAGAGGCGGAGCACGGGGTGACTAAACAATGCCGGGTCAAGGGGCATGAAGTGGAAGGGCATCGCAGCCTTGTAGAAGAGGGAGACGTGAATGTACCGCCCGGTGGGGCAGCCATCGGAGCCATAGACACGCACGACGCTCCTGTCCTCTCCCTCCACCATGGCAGAGACGGAGGGGGAGGGGTTGTCGGCAAGCGCATGGCGGGGGAGAGAAAGGGAGGAGATACATGAGAGATAATGCAGAGGGGGCTTGTGATAAGGCCAGCATCCAGAGGCTTCCATCAGTGGATCACGGATGGGTGTCTGTGCATGCAAAGAAAATATTACCGCCGGGCTAAATGAAGTTAATTTCTTTTCTTTTAATCATTTTATGGACTCACTATTGCTTACATTTAATGGCTTTCAATAAATGAACTTATTGATTTTAATCAAACCAAAATGTACACATCGTAGTATGCTTTGTTCAATGTCTATTATAAGTTCGTTAAAACTACGTTCTTATTGATTCAACAATTTATGAACTGTATGCACAAACTGTATTTTTTGGAACTACTTTTAAGAAAGCAATAGAATTTGGTACAATTGTTTATCTGGGAGATTGCAGCGTTAAGAGAAAACATCTAGAATGATGATGACTATTACATCATTAGATTTCCACCATCTCTGAGCAAAAGTTCTTTGCTGGCTAGTATGCCCTTTCTGATGGAGTCGATTTTGGATTTTGTTTATTTTCAAACGATAATGAGCTTTTGTTTTGACTTGCAGGACTTAGAAGTGAACTATTTCCATGCATTTTTTATGGAGTTGATTTTGTGTTCATTACTGCATCTCTCTTTCGGCACCGTCAAGCTGACATATATGGGGGAAGTAGATAGGTGAAGCTTCTATCCTTCAATTGATTTTCACAATTCACTTTCACTACACTTATAATCTAACCAAAGCCATAGCTTATTGATTGAGATAAGATTTCCCATTTTATTTCAGGAAATTTTGAAGCGCATGATTTTGTTCTGCAAGGTTGCTGTTGAGGTATCCCCTGAACTCTATTGTCAACCAGTTTGAAAATTTCTTAATTTTGTGGGTTTCAGACATGTTGGTAGTTTGGTGCTAAGTGTGGCACAAGTAAATCCAAATCTAACCAAATCTTAAATGATTGGGCTGCTGGGCTCTACTTTTTCACTAGCGGATATTTTATTATCTTGATTTCTCCCTACTCATGTTACTGTTTTCCTTGAATTGGCATGTTCCTCTATATTCTGTACCTGAATATCGTTCTATTATACATGTGATTACTCCATAAGCTGCAGGTTCCTTGGCACGTTCCATGTGGCGGTGTGTGCTATGGAGATGGAAATTTGGTGTTCATTGCCATGATTGGCACACTGCACTCCTACCTGTTTATCTGAAGGCATATTACAGAGACCATGGGTTAATGTTGTACACTCGCTCCATTCTTGTCATGAACAGAACATCGCTCACCAAGTCAGTTTCCTTCTCCTAATCATGAATCTGTTGTGCCATTGCTTTTTTCTAGAAATTAAAATGGTTTAATTCTGATCGTGGCACACACGGAAGGTTACTGAAGAAGGCGCCTTATCTAGAAAATGAACAATGGCATCCACAATTCTTTTGGTCAATTGTTTCTTTCATATTTTCAGTCAAACATCGCTTTTGTTTGGTTCTCAACTAGAATCTAGTAAATTCACTATCTTGCATCCTAACGTTTTCCCTCTTGTTTGCAGGGTCGTGGTCCTGTAGATGAATTCCCGCACATGGACTTCTAAACACTTCAACGCCTACAAAGCATTTTCTTCAACAGTTACAAGCAATTTAGTTTTTGCTACTGTAGCAGTTTTAGTTAGCTCATTATCCAAAAATGCATGAGCAACAGAAGATATGAAGGAAATCACCAGGAAGAATCTTGGAGTGGAGATATGAAGGGAAGAAACATAGAAAATGCATTAATCATACCTGTTACAGTAGATACTTTTGCCTCAACACTTGCTTAAAGTTGGATGTATGCGATTTTCTTGATCATCTTGGGTTCTGTGGTTTTCTAAACTGTAAGAAAAATGGACCCTTGGCCTATTTAGTTGGATTTTGGTGTTTGATGATCAACACAACCAAGTTGGACTAATGTGTTTGCAAGTGTATGTTTTGTAATCCAATAGGTTGCATAGCGAATTTGGAAAGAGAGTGGACCATAAAGAATTGATCAACACTTTAAGGAAGACACTAAGAGGATGTGTGATCAATCTAGAAGTGAAGCTAGGAGTCCAAGACGCAAAGATTAAGAAGCCCGGACCAAGACACGAACAAAATTGAAGTCACTGAAGCCGAGACAAAGATGTGATTGAATTGGAACTGTCTCGTGATTTTGGATCAGCTCAAATTGATACAACACCAGTTCAGAGTTGTAGAGCTCTTCATTAACTTTTCAAAAAGTCCAAGATCATCAAAATCGGAGTTCGGAGCCAAAAGTTATGTCCAAAATACGAACATGTGTCAAGCTCAGGGCTGTCATTGTAGCAGTCCGGAGCCTGGGTACGGAGCACAGGACTTAGTCCGGAAGTGAATTGGGTCTGGAGGTTGGGTTCGGAGCCTCAAACATAGCTATTCGGAAGGCAAAACACATCAGACCCGTGGTACATGGTCCGGAGGTAGGCTCAGGACCGGGTCCGGAGCTAAAATATCTCTCGGGGTAGTTTCTGGACACCTCAGGACCAAGGTGCATGATGGTCCGGACCCTCTCTGTCGTCCGAGTCCAGAGGTTCAGCAGTCAGCTCAAGTGACCATTGGGAAGGGAACCGGACCCTATGAACAGTGACGGTCCGGAGGTACGCAGAAAACTGCAGATTCGCCACCAATGGCTATATTTGGACTTGGGGCCTATAAATATCACCCCAACCGGCCCTTTGAGACTAGAGGGAGCTGAGGAACATACCAAAGGAGATGGTAGTCCAATTTAGTGCTCTCCACATGCATAGTGCTTAGCGAAATATTTGGTGATTAGCATAGGTGCTTTGCGAAGTGCTTAGGTTAGTTAGACCACCGCTCGTGCGCTTGCTCTAGGTTTAGGCCTAGTGTTTAGTGAGGTTTGCACACCTCTTGCCACTCGGTGCCTGCGCGCACCATTGTTGTACTTGGCGGGGCTTGTAGTTTTGCGAGACCACACCAACCACGTTTATGGTGTGACCGCCACCGTGTACCGAAGGGATCAAGGCCCGCAATGGTTCAGCCAGAAGCTTGATTGTGAAGACGGCGGGGAGCGGTCTGGGAGAGGCTTGCTGGAAGGCACACCGGAGACCCACTTGCGCGTGGAGAAGGCTCGGGGCTATCCATGGAGTTACCTGACCGGGAGCTTAGCCCTTGCAAGGGATTTCTTGCAAGGGACTCCAAGCAGTACTAGGGGGAAGCTTGAGCGCTTCTTGATACCTCGGCAAAAATATCAGAGTCATCGACGGGAGTTTGCATCTCTACCTTATCTTTACCTTCTGCATTTATATTGCTACCTTGGTTATGTGATTTACTTTCCTAGCTTAGTTGATAGGCTAGTTGATAGGATTGAAACCTAGGTTGCATAACCCTTTTGCGGTACAGATAGCAACACACGTAGCAAAACCATAGTGGCACATTTAGATAGATTACTTTCTTACATAGGTTTTGACTAGGTAGAATTAGAGGATTTAGTTAGAGATGGAATTTTTAGATGCCTAATTCACCCCCCCCTCTTAGGCATCACGGTCCCTTACAAATTGTATCAAAGCATGTTAGCTCAATTTGGACCTTTGATTTCACCGCCGTTGAGCCACTGCTATTTAGAGTGGTTGGGATGGATACTTCTAGGCCTCTGCACTTTGACAGCACTAACTTTCCCTATTACAAAGCTAGAATGGCTTGTCACCTTGAGACGGTTGATTTGGGTGTTTGGAGTCTCTCATGATGGGATGAAACCCATTAAGAATCCCGACAAACCTACTAAGAGTGAAGAAAAAGAAATGCATTTCAATGCTAGAGCTAAAAATTGCTTGTTTGAATCTTTTAGCATGGATGTGTTTAACCAAGTATTCACTTTAAATACAGCACATGAAATTTGGTTAAAACTCCAACAAATCCATGATGGCACAAGTAATGTCCGTGAGCAAAAACATTGCATAGCCCAACAAAGCTTTGATTCCTTTACAATGAATGAAAATGAGCTTGTTCGTGATATGTATTCTGATTAAATCTAATTATCAATAAGCTCAATTCTATAGGACTGACAAAACTAGGAGATGCGGACATCTGAGGAAGATCATCTCCGTGCTACCACAAAAGAACTATGCAAGCATCATCACCATCCTCCACAACATGGAGGACTTGAGCAACATGACACCGGTCATTGCAATTGGCAAGATAGTGGCATTTAAAATGTCATGCAAGATGGGTCAAAAAGAAGCCTCTTCATCAAGCAAAGGCAAAGCTCTCGCATGTAGTGAGAAAAAGAAGATGAAGGGCAAGCAAGTTGAGACAAGCTCAAGCTCTAGCTCCTCAAGTGAAGATGAAGAAGAACATGAGGATGATGATGATGAATCAAGTGATGATGATCATTCTTCCTCCTCTACCTCCGACATTGATGAAGAATCACTCAAGCTCATTAAGAAGGTGGAGAAGATGATCCAAAGGCTCAATGTCAAGGGTGTTCCCAACAAAATTCAAGATTGCATCTTCACCAATCAAAGAAGAGAACAAAGAAAGAAGGGATGCTATGGATGCGGTGAGTTGGGGCACTTTATGGAAATTTGTTGAAATAAGCCCACACCCAAGACAAGGAAGAAGGTGTGCAATGACAAAGTGCTCACCTCAATCAAGTCATGGGATGATTCTTCAAGTGAAGAAGAACATCACAAGAGGCACGGCCACAAGCACTCATCATCATGCTCTTCTCACACGTGCCTTATGGCACAAGGTAAGGAAAGCTCATCCTCCTCTTGTGAGAATGATAGTGATGATGATGAAAAACCTTCAGATGATGATCTCCTCAAACAAGTCCAATTCTTTGATGAAGTTTGCACAAAACAAAGAAAGCAAATTAGTGAACTTAAAGGTAAGTACACTAAAATTAAAAAGAACTATGACAATGCTACCGATAGAGAACTTATAATTAATGATCTAAAGTCAAAACTAGCTAGTTCACAAAATATTCATGAAAATTTGCTCATTAAAATGAAACTTCTTGAAGAACAAAATAATGAGCTAGCTAGCAAGCTTGAAGCTATCGGTAGCACCCCCAAGGCTCCTAACATTGATGAATCAAATGAAGTAATTAAAAGGATGCCTCTACTTCTTGCAATGATTTATGTTTAGACTCACCCTTGTGCGACCAAGTTTGTGTTGAGAAAGTTATTATAGAAACATGCACACAAGAGGTCGCAATGGAGAATGAGCAACTCAAGCAAGAAGTGGCCCGCCTTACCAAGGAATTGACTCAAGTAAAAGGCAAGACAGAGCAAACCCAACTTCATCAAGATAACACTGTCAAGGGAGTGAAGAAGCTTGATGAAGGACAAGGAAGGCCACAAGTTCTATGAGTGCAAGGTGAAGAATGGGGGAGGAGAAAAGAAGAAAGAGAAAAACAAAAAGCAAACAAGCAAGTTCTCCAACACCTACACCAACAAGGTGGACAAGAAGGCCTCCACACCTTACCTCTTGAAGAAGAAAAAGAGTGACATGGTGGTGGCCATCAAGGTGAACAAACAAGCCAACAAAGGGGCCAAACACATTAGGGTACCAAAGGAGATCATTTCTAACATGAAGAGCACCAACAAGGTTTGGGTCCCGAAGGGAAAGTGAGAAGTCCAATAGACTTCTGGCAATTTGGAGACTTGGCAAAGTTTGGATGCATTTCATGGGGTGCATCATGATGGACATAGTCATTGCCAAGTGGATTAGTGAATACTTTGGACCCAAATTCCCATCCCATGTTAGGTAACTAGATTTAAATTCTTGCAATTTCAATTAGCATCTAGTTCCTTTTCTTGCCTAGGTTTGCATTTGCATGTTTAAATCTTTTTTCATACATACACTAGGTATTTCATATGGTAGGCTTGCTTGGTATCACTCTTACCCTTGGAGCAAACCTATATGAGCTTAAAATGTTTAGGAGCACGGCACATGGCTCGTCTTACAAGTAGTTTATTTTATTTTTTACAAGTTTGTATCTAATATGTGCCAAAGTCCAAATTGTAGATAATTTTGCCCGAATATCATTTTTTGAAATGATTCTCATATTCATGTGATGTCATCTCTCAAGTGGTATTTTTTATTTTAAAAATCAATGTGCATGCCCCTAAAAGTATTCCATGCTTGTGTGCACAATTTTATGGGGAGGTTATTCTATAAGTTGCATGCTTTGAGACTAACACCATTTCAAGCTTATCATGTGTGTAGTAGTCTCATTGCAAGAAAAATGGAGTCCCCAAAGATAAGCATCATGCTCTAAAATCCACCACCATTTACAAGTAATATCATTACAAGTGGTGATGGTCCAAGTGGTCTCTACATGTGGTATTTCTAAGCCGATATCATTACGTTGATTTTACTTTGATATTTATATGGTTTCTCCATGCATTATATAGGTTAAAGTCCCTTGTGCATTATTTTGTCAATTATGCATATACTTCACCCTCCACCATATGTATGCATATATTTAGGGGGACCTTAGTCTATATAATGTGAGAGTCAAGTTTTGTGATCTATTCCACTCCACATATAAAGGATCACAAAATTTGACCATCCCTTGTGC